CAGTCTGATTCCAAGACACTATAACTAATCACTGAAATTTTCTTTTCAAAAGGTGCTAGTAAATGTATCCCCCTGTCTTATCAACTTGAAAAGAACGATTCTGTCTATGGGGTAACACACAGGAGAGTGGAAGAGTTAAAGTTATTGCCATACTGATGGATCATAAGAACCTCAAGAGAATTTGTTACCTATGGTGAAGTAAACCAAAATCATCTCAAATTAATATAAAACACCATAAACTGGGTTATTACAATTAAGGCATCTGACCAGAACCAAAACTTTACTTCTATGGAAAGATGTTTCTACACAAGAGTCTTCATGTTTGATAACAATTGGATTTCTTTGTTGTGTATCGTTAGTAGTTAATCTCTTCCTAACAGCCGGGTTTATCAGAATGTATTGTAGCAGGAAGAAGTGAGTCTGATGTTGCAGCCAGCACCGACTAAAAGCTTACAGACAGTGCTCCTCCATTAAATAGAGGCTTTGCTGGCATAAATAACATACACTCTGAAGTTTAAAGGGATACCATAAAGACTTTAATGTATGATTTTTCTCTGTGGTTAATAACTCAGTTCTTCATTTTTGTCAGCTTGTACAAGAAAACTAGACCAGTCAATTCCAATTTTTTTTTCTTTTATGTTACAATCCATTAACGGTCAGTTTCACTTTGTCTCATGCCTTAGCCCTTGAACAAACAAGGAGAATGCTATATTATACAACATCTCACAGATACTTTCTATAATTTTAAGATCATACATGCTGAACTCAGCAGACTTCATACACAGCAAACAAAATAACAAATAACATCCTTAGTCTAGCAGAGTCTCAGTACTGGAGGACTGGATAGCATGGAGGTCAGTAACTCAATGTGGAGCCTTTCACTTCTAAGATACTGGCTCAAATCTGATCGAGGTTAGTAGTGACAGAGAGCCCTTTGCTGTAAGACAGTTGTTCATTGGCCTATGTAAAACTTTGTGCCAATCAAAAGAAACTGCCCATAATAATTGTCCTCCTTTGCTGTGTCTACACTAGATTTTTTTTTTTTAATGTACCCCCCTTTCTACCAGAGATGTAGTTCCATCGGTGTAGCAAAGGTGGGAAAACTACAGTCAAGTGGCTGTCAGTGTTTTAACTACCATGTTGTGTCTCTATGCATGGAGCAGGTCAATGCACCTGGTGGTTGCATTTCCAATAGTCACTTGTGGCTAGTACCTGCGGTGGGTGGAAAATTTTTAGGACAAGGTGTATAGACTAGACCAATTATTGCCAGTTTTTGCAGAGGCACCAAAGATTGAATGGTAATGAGAACTGAATTACTTTTTCCTTCTTAGAGATGACGGCTCCTAGTCAAGTTTGAGGCATTCTAACAGTATAGGGAAACTTGCATAGTGACTACTGTACCTGCTGTTTGGATAGAGAGCCACATGCTCCTCCATTTGTCAACCTGAGCAGGACAGGAATAGTTCCTGAACATAAAAGGCTCTTATTAACTAAAAGAGACTATAAAGTGTTGTAATGCTTTTAGCTAATAATAATGGCAATGGTGAAGCCACCAGAAAATTCCTACAAGTATCTTAAACCTGCAAGTGCTTGAACACTTAAACATTTTGAAAGGCAAACTTTCAGAGCGATCTTTATTCAGAAGAGTGTGCAAAATCCTTATCTTCACTGCTTATTAGCCTTAGGGTATGTCTATGCTGGCAGAGTTTCTTTGCCAGCAGTTACATTGCTGCTCAGAGAGCACTGAAGGGAAACCGCTGTTGTGTGTTCACACTTTCAGCTGCCTGCACAATAGTGTGTTCATTAGTGTGTTCGGCACTTGCATCGGTATTCGGAATGGTGCACTCTGGGCAGCTATCCCACAGAGCATCTCTTCCTCTTCTGTCACTAAGTATTGTGGGAAGGCGGAGGGGGTCGCCAGGCATACAGGGTCCTGTCCCAAAGCCCTGTGATGCATTGCTTCCCAACCCAGCAATCCCTGTGCTTCCATCTGCATTTGGCGCCATCTTTCAACGGTTTGTGTATTGCGCGCTCTGCCTCTTCGGTCTGCAGGAATGGATCTCAAACTGATGACCAATATGCTGCTTGCTCTCACTAACACGTGAGTGGCAGTGGAGTTATTCCTTAAACTACAAAGGCAAGAGGTGTCCGACGTTGATCTCGCCACACGTAGTAGCTACGACATGAATTGCTTGTGGCATTCACGGAGGTGCTGACAACAGTGGCACACTGCTTTTGGGCTCGGGAAACAAGCAGCGAGTGGTGGGAACACATCGTCATGAACATCTGGGATGACAAGCAGCGGCTGCAGAACTTTCAGATGAGGAAAGCCACTTTCATGGGACTGTGTGATGAGCTCGCCCCAGCCATGCAGTGCAAGGACATGAGAATGAGAGCTGCCCTGTCGTTGGAGAAGCGCTTGGCGATTGCACTGTGGAAGCTGGCTACTCCAGACTGCTACCAATCAGTCGCTAAACAGTTTGGAGTGGGGAAAGTCTACCTTTGGACTTGTGTTGACGGAAGTGTGCAGGGCCATTAATCGCATCCTGCTGCAAAAGACCGTGACTCTGGGCAACGTGACATCGTGGATGGCTTTGCACAAATGGGCTTCCCTAACTGCGGAGGGGCGATAGATGGCACGCATATTCCAATTCTGGCACCAGACCACGTAGCCACTGAGTACATTAATCAGAAGGGGTATTTCTCAATGGTTCTCCAGGCGCCTGTGGATCACCGTGGGCGTTTCACAGATATTAACACAGGCTGGTCCGGAAAGGTGCATGACGCTTGCATCTTTTGGAACACAGGCCTGTTCAGGAAGCTGCAAGCAGGGACTTTCTTCCCAGTCCGGAAGATCACTGTAGGGGAAGTCGAAATGCCCATTGTGACCCTGGGAGACCCTGCCTACCCCTTAATGCCGTGGCTTATGAAGCCATACACGGGGAACCTTGACAGCAGCAAGGAACGGTTCAACAATAGGCTGAGCAAGTGCAGAATGACTGTTGAGTCTGCTTTTGGCCATTTAAAGGCTCGCTGGTGCTGCCTATATGGGAGGCTGGACCTGGCCGATGACCATATTCCCATGCTTATAGCCACGTGCTGTGTACACCATAATATTTGTGAAGGGAAGGGTGAAAGCTTCACTCAGGGCTGGACCGTTGAGTCTCAGTGCCTGGACGCTGAATTTGAACAGCCAGAGACCAGGGCTATTAGAGTGGCGCAGTGCAGGGTCATAAGGATCAGGGATGCCCAGAGGTAGCAATTTGAAGCTGAAAGCCACTAATATTTGTTGCTATGCTTGGGAGTGCAGTGCTTGTAATGTTAAGCGATTGTGATTGGTGCAGACGATGCACTGTGAAGGTTTAAGAAAATTGTCTGTTGCTTTCCTTTCAGTTAATGGAATAAAGATTGCTTTCAAACCAAAACAGTTTTTATTAAAAAACAACAACTGGAGGAGAGAGACAAACAAAAAAACACATCAGCACTGAGGGGGATGGGGGAAGGGAGGGTCCCAGGAGGAGGCGGGGTCCCAGGACGAATAAAGATTTGTGTATGTCCAGGTATCCTATGCAACCTTGTCCTTTGGAGTACAGTGCAGTGGATACTGTACTGCAGAGGGATGGGTGTTGAGTGCAGTGGGTACTGGGAGTCCGCAGGGCTGGACTGTGACAGGGCAGGTGTGGAATGCAGCGGGTACTGACTAGAGCAAGGATGTTGACAAGAGTGTGTTGGCGGTGTGTGTGGGGCGCATGGGAAAGAGTTTTGCGACACCGTCTGCATGGGAGGGCAGGCACACAGTTGCTCGGTTTGCAGTGCTAGGAGCGCCTGAAGCGTGTCCGCTTGGCGCTCCATAATGTTTAAGAGACGCTCCGTGGCTTCGTTCCGGCGCACCACGTTCTCCTTTCGTTCTCTCTGCTCGCTGTCCCGCCCCTCGTTCATTTCTTGTTTTTCTGCCACGGAGTGCAGCATGACATCATGGAGAAGATCCTCTCTACTTTTTCGTGGCCGCTTTCTAATTCTGCGCAGCCGTTCAGCTGGCGATAACACAGAGAGAGGCTGGGCTCCGAAAGCCATATATGCGAAGCCAAAATGCAACATTTTGTAGAAGCAATATTATTTGCAACACACAGACCACTGTATCAGTGTTTTAAAACACAACCACTATTCACATACCTATCACTAACTGGCTGACCCCAGGCAAGCACACATGACCCACAAGACCCCCAAAATGGTGAGTAGCTGCAGATGCAGGGGAATTCAGTGTTCCAGGACAATACTGGGCACGTGGCTCTTGGGGAGAGCCAGCACTGTAGGGGGGGCATAAAAATCATTCCTGTTCCCACATTTTCCACAGGCTGTGTTCATTATGGAAGATCTCTTGCTGCTCAGGGTGAACAGGGAATCAAGGGGAGGTTCTTCTCCAAGAGTGTCACTTCCACCCTGGCCCTTACGCAGCTCGAACTAATAATTCTTTGCACTTCTGTGGCCTTTTTCCTCCCAGGAGCTCAAAAAACTGCATAAGCAGTAACACATTTACCTTTGCAACACATCTGTAAAATAGGTAAGTAGTACATCCCTTAGTTTACAGATTGGGAAACTGAGGCATAGATTAAACAATTTGGCCAAGTTTACATGCACAGTCTGTGGCAGAGCGAGGTGCAGATCCCAGATCTCTTGGCTTCCAGTCCTGTGTATTGACCATAAACCGTCCTCCTACCCTGTTTTAGGTGTTCGTTTAGATCTTTACAATATAAATAACTGTTTCCTGGTGTTTTGTCTATACAGGCAGTCCTCGGACTTACGACACTATTGGTTCCTTAAAATTGCTTCGTAAGTCGAAACGTCGTAACTCGGAACCGCAATCCATTCCATTGCGGGACCGAGCATCGTAAAGTCAAAACCAATTGTTGTAAGTCGAATCGGTGTCAATTCAGAAACGCCGTTAGTGCCGTTTGTCGTAAATCGAATGTCATAAAGTCAAGGACTGCTTGTATATATTTTGTTGAATAGCTTAATTGATTTTTAATTATGAAAGAAGAATGAAAAAATATATAACAGCTGTTCTTATTTTCAGTATTGACATGTTAAAGTCCCCTGATAAAGAAGAAGATCCAGAGATTATTTCTGAAGACAGCAGTCTAGTAACTCTTCGGTATGTTGGATTTTGATGCCATTATCAGAATCTGGATAAGATAAATTCTTTAACTGCTATAGTACCATAATGTGTTTGTCATTCAGGCAATGGTGTAACTGCTGGGCAGTTTCTAGTAATACATTAAAGATCTGGAAACCATCTTAGGGGAGCGTAGGTTGCACCAACCCACTGCTTTATGTGCTTTAAAGAATTCTGGAGTAAAAAAAGAGATTTTTCATGCCATTTGCATTGAAGGATCTCATTTAATAAAGACTATCAGTTATAGTACACGAGATTCTGATATGGCTGCTGAGCTTTAACACCAGATGCTTTTGGACTGACTTTTAGAGATGCTTAGAGTATGAGGCCAGAGAGGACCACCAAATTATCTAGACTGACTTTCTGCAAATCACAGGCCACCAACACCACCCAGCAACCACATACTAAACCTAACCGCTAAAATTAGACCAAAATATTATAGGCCTCAGGAGGCTAAATTATTGTGTGCCATAGACAGAGAACAGGAGGGACTGAGGTGTGACATTGCCTGAGGACCCTTCAATGACAGGGAATTAAGTGAGCTATTCCCAGGTGACCCTGTCAAGAGATCTACACCCCACCCTGCAGAGGAAGGCAAAAAACCCCAAGGTCACTGCCAGTCTCACCAGTTAGAGCCTGAGTGTGTGAGCAAGAGCCAGCCAACCAAGCACTGAAGAGAAAATCCTCAGTACCACCTCAGAGTACTGGCTTATTCCGTCCAGGGTTCCATCGACAGCTGTGGCCATCTCTAATGCTACAGAGACAAACAAACCACCCCTACAGTGGGGGTCAAGGGGTAATCAATCCCTTTCTGACAGGTGGCCAGCTGAAGCCCTGAAGCATGAGATTTTAGGAACATCAAATGCTCAGGAAACAGGAAGTTAAATATGAATAATAAAGTGGACCTGACACAAAGGTGGGAGAGAGAATTCCCCAGAGTGCAAGGTGGGTCTGAGGCATGCTAATCCCTGGTGATAGGATGGTTATGTTGCTATGTCCAAAGAAGCAGTTCCTAGGTTGTAACCAGATCACAACACTCTGAGCCCTAAATTGCTAAAATGCCATCATGTGGTAGTAACAAACCCAGCACTTCTGGTCCACTTTAAACCTTGATTAAATTATCCCACACTTGGCCAACACAAGCCTTGATTCATTGATGGTACTTGACATTCTTTTTGCCTGTCTAGAACAAAGAAAATGCAATCTGTGGCTTATAGTTAGAATTAGTGTTGGTGGGTCTTGCTACTGAAAATAACACATCTGGAAAAGCCTGCAGGTAAATATACATGCACATATAATGAAAATTAATGTGTGTTAATATTAACTATGTGAACACACATATTTAATATTGTTATGAGCTGGGTGAAACCTTGTTATGGGTTGTTAATACCTCTTTGAGATTGGATGTGAATGCGTCCTTCAATTAACACAACTGAGAGACTGAGTTAATCAGAAATCCACCAGGTAAAACAAAACGGGGTTGTGAACCCACCCAGAAGCTTTGGACTGAGTGGACAGAGGGGTTTTGCTGAGGGGTGTGTGAGCGAAGGCAAAAGACACAGATCAGAGAGTGGGCCTGGTGGACGGAGGTTTAAAAACAAGAAAGCCAACCAGCAGCCTATAAGCACAGTGTGACCTGGAAAAAGCTAGAGACAGCTTTTGGGTCAGGTGTTGAGGCTGTACGCTAAGAAACTGCTCCATTTGTTCTTGGTTCCTCCTGATTTCAGACACACGACTTCGTACATTCCTTGGAAAATAAATAGGATTGCATCAAAGAAAATACCAGATTCCATCATTTTCTACTTTCAATTTCACTTTATATTCTTGTTTAAATGAGACTGAACAGAAGTAGTTTGGATTTCTATAACTATGAGAGAGAGTGACTCTGTAGCCCAATGGTTAGGGCACCAACCTGGGAGGTGAGAGACCTGACATCCAATCCCCCTGCTCCAGTCATTCTTTCATTATTTATCCACAGCGGAACAGTTTCAACAGGGGAGACTAAGAGCGCCTCCACATCAGAATATTCTATAGCCTGTGGTTAAAGCATCTTAAGAGATGTGAGACCCCATTCAAATCCTTTCTCTCCCTCTGGCAGGGGGGGCGGGGAAATTGAATCTGGGTCTCTTGCATCCCAAGTGAATGCTCTAACCACTGGGCTAAACGTTATAGGGTGGGCACGACCTCTTCTTCCTCCAGCTGTTTTGCGTGGAACGAGGCAGCTGCCTAACTAATTCACTGGTTCAGGAAATGTGTTAGGCATCTAAGTCACCGAGTCAATGCAGCGGGTTCCCATTCGTGGATGACTAGGAGAGGCAGGTATCTCCTTGCAGCCTGGATTGAGGTGCCTAACTCCAAGAGGGGGGGGCCTAGCACATACCCCTCTTGTCAGCATTGCTCTTGAGCTAGCTTCGGTGGCTCCCTGCCTAGCATGCTGCCTTTTGTGGATCGCATTCATAGGCACCTCTCTCTTCCCTTTCATTGTATAGGGAGCCTAGGTATTTAACTTGGCCTTGTAGACCACAGTGTTGGTCTTTTGATTTTCCAGGTGTTTGAAAGTTAGGTACTGTAATGCTCAGCATTGCAACGCCTAAGTCCCTTCATGGATTCCATCCTGGATCTTAACCTATTTAATGTTCTTTGTAAACTGCCAAGTACGTTGATGGTTTGATACATACATACATACATACATACATACAATGTTCGTTCTAAAAGATTTCAGCCAATCTAGATGCTCAACTTTCAATTAGTTTTTCTGAACAGGTGGCATTATCATAAAGTAAAGTGAGTAATCAAGACATTTATGTAGGCTTACTACACCATGATGTAATCAAAAAGATAGGCTGCTGCCTACATCAGAACATTATTTCTGGAATATTTGACAATATTTGACCATGGTCAAATAACAGGTGGTCAACTGATTGGTCAGTTGATGTTATTCAACTGGTCAATTAACCAGTTGGCCAAGCCTCATCTCTCTGGAAGTGTTTAGTCTTTTCCATTTTAAACCAGCATTGCAGTTCCCATGTCGTTTTAAAATGTACCTAGTTACACTAAACAGCACGCTTTATAATGCCATTTTGCCTTGTCTCTCTCTCTTGTTGCCCTCTACCCTATCAAGAATTAGAAAGAAGGCCCTGGAGAGGCGAGAAGAAACCATAATTGTAGATCGCACTTGCAGACAAGAAACATTTACTTATGAGATGGTAAGATTTTCCCCTCTTCTCCTCCCAGACTCTCAAGACAATTGAACCCTGTCAAGAAAACAGCTCTCAAGGACTTCCTTTGCTTTGTGTTTTTGATTTGCTGGTGAAGCCAACTATATCATTCACACTGTTGTATTATGAGTTTGCAAACAATGACTAAGATGACATATGCTCCTATAAGTGGGTAGCCCACACTGGAACACTTTTGGGGCAGGGACTGTCTCTCACTGTGTTTGTAGAGTCCCTAACACAATGGGATTCTAATCTTGGCTGAGGCTTCTAAGCATTATCAGAATATTACTGATGATGATAATAACATGGTTTCTGTTTTATATGGGAGCCCCAATGTGCTGGGTGCTGTACAGACATATAATACGATTAAGGCATAGGCCCTATAGCAGGGGTTCTCAAACTGGGGGTCAGCACCCCTCAGGGGGTCGCGAGGTTATTACATGGGGGGTCGCAAGCTGTCAGCCTCCACCCCAGACCCCGCTTTGCCTCCATCCAGCATTTATAATGGTGTTAAATATATAAAAAGTGTTTTTAATTTATAAGGGGAGGGGGGTTGCACTCAGAAGCTTGCTATGTTAAAGGGGTCACCAGTACAAAAGTTTGAGAACCCCTGCTCTATAGGCAATGCCTAGAGCTCAGGAGTCATGGGATGGTGTCACGACCTCCTCTTTAATTTAAAACAAAAATATCCACAACCATCATGGACAGAGACTTTTTTTTTTTTTTTTTTTTTTTTTTAAAGGTGAAATTATCCTAAATTTCCAGCTCCTGGAATCAATTGATTATACAAGAAAAACACCAAACATTATGAGAGTTAGGAATTGCCCTGTGTGGCCCTCCTGCACTTACATGCACTTAACACTGCTGCCTCCTCTTGCCTTGTCGTGTGTGTGTGTGTTAACATTGTGTAGTATACATAAGAAATAAATCAAAAACAAATTGGGGGTAATGAGTTGGCACAGATATTTTCTAGAAAACAGTAGGAGCTACTCAGCAGTCTTGCGAGCCAAGCTCTTTAAAAAGAAGGCACGTGTACGGCAATTGATGCTCTAATACGGCAATGTCAGTAGTTCCAATGGAATTTATTATTGAAAGTAAAACATACTAGACAGTCTGAGTTTTGTTTACATTAGCAAAAGAGACTCCAGTGATAGAGTCCAATTAGCTTGTACTTCAAGGACTAGCAGTTATCTCTGCACAGGGCTACAGCAGCAGAAAGCATCTCTGCTATTAAAGCTAAAGAGCACTTTGTGGTGGCCAGATTGCAGTGAAATCCTTTTTCAGCCAGAAAAAGGCTGTTTTCATTTGGGGCAACGCTCCCCAACTGTTTGGGGAGACCGGTTGTTAGAGAAGGGAGAAATTACCTTCCTTATTCTGTTTGACAGCTGGGGTTTCATCTTAAGGAAAAAGCATAACAAAAATGCTTTCAGCTCGTATCCAGAACATGCTAGTTTGTACTATAGGAGGTAGTGCCTGAGGATAAGAGGCATGGTGGGGCTGGATTCTTGGTTTGGATTTGCTTGACATTTGGATTGAATAAAGAGGCCTCAAATCATGTACATCATTAACAAGAGTCTCTTGTTTTCGCACACTTCTCCCATGTTTAGTTTCTGGACCATTGTACAATTTGCAGTAGAATGCACTCGGACATATGTATTAACATTTTATCTTCCTAGGAGTCTCATGCAATTGGAAAGAAGCCAAAAGATCCAGCAAATCTAATTGAGGAAGGAGAACTTTTCCTAACTCTGAACATCTTTTATCCTGTCATATTTCAGAAGGTTGGTATTAAAAATTCTCTGGGTCAGAGTATGATACATTTTCCCACCTTGAATAGTGTCTCACTCCACAAGTAGTCTCACTGAAATCAGTGGGATCATACAAGGAGTAAGATGCTACACAAGACTGAGCGTTCTTATTTATCAGTTAGCCTGTAGGTGCTACTACAATTTATCCAAATTGGGGGTCCTAGACCCGGTATAAGCATACCATAAATCACACTCAAAGGCTGCCAGAGACTGGCTTTCTGTGATTCGAGGTGGTAGTTGTAAAAGTTGCAGTCTTTTCTTAATGGTTCAGTAGTAACTTCATAGTTTTACTGCAGATCAGAATGTGTAGCATTTAGAACTAACGTACTTTCTGTGGGTCTGGCCAACAGTTGTACTCAGATTACTTGTAGGGTTGCCAACTTTGGTTGGATGAATTCCTGGAGATTTCATCACATGGCATAATCTTTAATTCCTGGAGACTCCAGGACAATCCTGGAGGGTTGGCAGCCCTAGTTACTTGCAGCCATGAAAAGCTTAGAGTCTGTGCTTCAAATTAGTTCCTTTGTTGTAAAAACTGGCGGTGGCTTTACAGGGGCTGTGGAAAGCTGATGTCAGCCTTTTATGGGGAGGAGTTAGGCCTTGTGGTGCTAATGACCCCCGTTAGGCATTCTGTAGCAGTGCTGGTGGTAAAGACATTCTGGCCCTGTTGTTAACTGAAGGCTGCTCACTGTTTCTTTTGTAGCATAAAGATCACAAACCTTATCAGACAGTGATTGTGTTGGGCAGTCAAAAACTCACTGAGCTCAGAGACTCCATTTCCTGTGTCAGCGACCTTCAGATGGGTGGTGAGTTCAGCAGCCACCCTGACCAAGCACCAGAGCATGTTAGCAAGGTACAATCATCTAATGTAAAGGGGATGAGGGTGTATGTGTTTGTGCTTGGTTGTTTTTTTCCCCCAGCAACAGTGCAATGCAATGGTGCAGTTGGATTACATAATTCTGTGAGTATCCAGATATCATGGTGGGAGGCCAAATTTAATACCAGGATACATCTGTAATCTGAGAGAGAGAGATTTACTGACCTTTGGGGAATGCTTTTTGAGATGCACGGCTAGAAGATGCACTAGTATAAATTTCAGAATGCTTTGAAGATAAAAAATGAGTGTTTAACTATTACTAGGGTCTATGAAATGCCTCACATGTTTCTGAGCACTGAAACATAACCATTACAGCTAAAGTTATTTGCCAGAAGTCACCAGATGCCTGTCAGAGTGAGACATCAGCTCTTCTGTTTTACTTGGCAATTAAAATATGGAAAAACCACACACTTTGCACTTATTGTGACTTCTTAAAATTACAGTTAACACATGCATATACACATAAAGTATACATACATTATTGTATATTATACCTATGCACAATTGCATATGTAACATATATGTAAAACATTCCTAAACCACAACAAAATTATTTGAAGAGCTACATTCTTAAAATACGTTTCCATGTAGAGTCCGGCTAACATCCCAAAGCAGCCTTCTGCTTTCTTTAATTTTATCTTTGTAAATTAAAAAGGTATTAATCTGAGAATGAATACATCAGTGCTTAAAGTTTCGAATGTGGATAAAAGACTACCTTTCTGTGTCCCCATTTAAATGATTATTTAAAAAATAACCCCAGCTTCTCCAAAAAGTAATCTATAATTTACTGTGGGATGCTCCTAAGGGGAAATTGGCATCTGCCTTACTTATGCAGTGGTTCCTGCTGTTTCTTAATAATACACCTCTACCCCGATATGATGCAGTCCTCGGGAGACAAAAAATCTCACCGTGTTACAGGAGAGACTGCGTTATATCGAACTTGCTTTGGCCCTCCCTGTTCCTTGTTCCCTGACCACCCCCTCCAGAGACCCCCGTCCCTAATCACCCCCAGGACCCCACCCCTACCCAACCCCCCTGTCCCCTGACTGCTCCGACCCCTATCCACACACCCCGCCCCCTGACAGGCACTCACCGGCAGCGGCGGGAAGCGGAGCAGCCTGGCCCTAGCCCGCTCCACTCCGCCACTTCCCAGCCGCGGTGCTTAGTTTCCCGCTGTCGGTGAGTGCGGGGAGGTTGGCGAAGGGACGCGCCCCCCTCCCCCCCCCCCCCCACCTGCGGCGGGAAGCGGAGTGACGCGGCCCCAGCCCGCTTCGCTTTCCTTGCTCTGGCCCCAGCCGTGTCGCTGGGGCGGGGGGAGGGGCGCTGGGGAAAGGTCCTGCACTCACCTGCGGCAGGGAGCTGGCGGAGTGGAGCTGGCTGGGGCCGGGCTGCTCCACTTCCTGCTGCTGGTGAGTGCAGGGAGGTTGGGGAAAGGACGCCCCCCGCACTCACCAGCGGTGGGAAGCGGAGCGACGCGGCTGGGAGCTGGCGGAGTGGAGCGGGCTGGGGCCGGGCTGCTCCGCTTCCGCCGCTGCCGGTGAGTACGGGGGGGATCCCTTCCCCTAAGCCCCCTCCCCCGAGCGACACGGCTGGGGCCGGGGCGAGGGAAGCAGAGCGGGCTGCTCCCGGCCCCCAGCTAATCCCCTGGGACTGCAGGGCCCCCAAAAGTGCCCCCCCCCAGCCCCTGTCCCCCCGGCCCGGGGGGGGGGGGGGGGGGGCGGGGAGAGCCCCCGACCGCCCCTGAGACCCTCTGCCCCTTATCCAATCCCTCGGCCATGGCCTGGCCCGGCACCCTTAACACGCTGCTTTACCGTGTTGTATGTGAACCCGCATTATATAGGGGTCGCATTATATCAGGGTAGAGGTGTGTGTATATATAAACATCTCTATAGAGAGAGAGCCCTTGTGCGCAAGGCTCTTCATTGACTTTAAGCTATATATTTGTGAGCTTAATCTATTTCCTTTTGTCTACTTTCTATTGTTTTAAGTTCCCAAACCCATAATAAAAAAAAGCTTTATGATATGACTGTATTTTCTATTCATATAAATACTACTTGCTGCTAATTTTAGCCTGTCCACGTGTACAGCTCTCAATGTATTGTAAAGCGCAGCTGATTAACAGAATAACACATGGTTATTTTGCCAAATCGTTTTTTCCTCTTTTTTAATTTGTTTCTTCCTAGTTGATATGAAAGAGTTTAGCAAAGGAGCTCGCTCTTTTATATAAGAGTTAATCTACACCGCCTTGTCACATAACTTGTTGCATAAATAGCGGATACTCATTGGCTAGCTTCAGTAATTTCTGGTGATGCGGAATTCTGTGAGCCCCGTTAATGCTGATATGACTGGCATAAAACATTAATTAACCTCTGTGAGAAAATGTGTGGTACAAATGGCCTGTCTCTGTGTGACAAATTGTGTAATTAAGAGAGCATTTTGTGGGATGCTGGATCTCTTCAGAGCACCAAAAAGGGAGATGATTTGACCTTCCAGAACAGCACGTCTGTCTTGTTTATGGAGGTGTGAGTAGTCACTATTGGCACATGGCCACCTTTAATTTATGTTTTGGTGCAGGATTGCAATGGAGTTGATGACTTGTCATCCTGGGGAACAGTGGGTCTTGTGGCATGGCCTGCTCTGACCTTGCTAGTTTTTAGCACTTGGAGAGTTGTGTCTAAATTCTGTAAAAGATGCTCATGGGTTTTTAGAAATCTGTAAATAGCAGAATGGGGAAATAATAAGAAAAGAAAGATCATACAGTAGATAACATATCAGCATGATCAGTTTGCCGTCAACAGAGTAACTCTGCCCTAATTTTTAGTTCTGTATTGTTTTCAGAAATCACACACTGTAGCCAGTGACTCTGCAACAAGCCATATTGTGATATCAATATTTAAGCCGAACTCCCCAATGGGAAGCTCTGCTTAAAAACTGACAGAATGATACAGCCAAATATAATGTACGTACATAAAGTGCACCACAAATAAGCTTCATTTTGCAAGGTTTCTGTTGTTTAATCTATTTTTGTTTGTAGTACTAACGTTGTCTCTCTCTCTCTCTCTCTCTCTCTCTGTCCAAGGATCTCTACAAATCTGCTTTCTTTTATTTTGAAGGCGTTTTTTACAACGATAAAAGGCACTCAGAGTGCAGAGATCTGAGCAGGTACAGTATAAACAGTCCCTCAGTGGGAGGAGATCCTTAGGGAAGAGAAGAGAAACTTGACTCATTCTGCTGCTGCTGTGTGATGTTTCTAGAAAACCCCCTAATTTCCCTCCCCTTCCATAACCATCCCCAGCACTGAACTGATCTTCCTGAAGATCTAAAACTGCTTCCTCTGTATGAGCTGGGTCCATTATTTCTTGGGAATGGGTTCTCTGACGGGAAAAGGATTGGCAGCTGCAGTTTTGCCTGGACTAGACTTTAAAATGCCCTGACTATTTACAAAGGGCTTGTCTACACAGTGTCATTGTGTGCTCTACAGGGGTGTGAATTGTAGAGCGCTCTATCTGCCCCACGTAGACCCTGCCAGTGAAAACTCAAAGGTGTGCATTGATGTAATCCCATTTCAAACAGGACTACGTCAGTGTGCACTAGGTAACTTTTAGTTTATGCCAACACTGTCTATGTGGGGCAATTAGAGTGCTCTATATTTCATGCCCGTGTAGAGCCTCCTAAGGTGCCATGTAGACAAGCTCAAAGACTGTTAAAGGGTGTCTCAAAAAAAAAAAAAGAAGAGGGGCAATTGTCAGCTAGACTACAAATTAAAAATGTGCTATTTTTGTGAAGCCAGCAACCCCTCATCTCTTCCTCCCATTACTGAGCATACATTGAATACTTTCTACACAAGTACTTCCCTGAGTTGGCAGAGAGAAGTTATGTGATCATCCCTGAGAAAGGAGATGGGCCGAGCTGTGGTGGCTGGGATGGGAGGTGTCTTTGAGACCATTTCAAACTGTGGTTCAGTTTTGAAAACTTACTGAATTAAACCATCAATACATATTTATATGAAGGGCGTATGGCCTTTGTCGGCAGCTGAGCTATTATGGTGGGCAGTATAGAAATCCTCAGGGCTGGATTTGGTTCCTCACTGTGCCACAGACTTACTGTGCAATGTTGGGCAAGATGCATAATCTCTGTGCCTCACTCTTTGCTCACAAAATGAGGATTCTCATACTTTCGTAGCTCAGAGAAGTGTGAGTAAATGCTACGTGTGGTAGTGGAACACCTCATAGCGATGAACATGTTCTTAAAAAATCCAATAAATAAATACATGTGAGCTGAGGTCAGAAATAAGTGCAAAAGGTGATTTGAGGCTTGGTGTGCCACAAAACACACGACTTCCATGCATGTCCAGGAAAGTCCTCAACTTTACTTGGATTTCTTTAGAAAAATGATTGGCATTGGATTGTGGGCAGCCTCAAGGCAGTGTATAACTCTCTGAAAATGTGTTAGTCAACAAATCCCTACAGACTAATGTAAGAAATGTTGGTAACTTTTTTTTGTAATCAGTGCCCTGATGAAGCGTTTCAGACACACCTAAAATACAAGGTGCACAGATAACTTTCATACATTTTCAGCTTCTAACATAGCAATCCTAATTATTGTCTGTCCATGAAATTTCAGAACAATTATTGAGTGGTCAGAATCTCATGATCGAGGCTATGGGAACCTTCAGACTGCTAAAATGGAGGACTACACGTTTAATGACTTGTCCATCAAAATTGGTTTTCCATACCTCTTCTGTCACCAAGGAGATTGTGAGCATATCATTCTCATCACAGACATAAGGTAAATTATTACTATTTGGGAGTGCTCATCCAGTTACTATAAGTGCTTTGCTTTTGCTCTTACAAAGCCTGATGTCAGAGAGTGCTTGATAAACACCAGTATCAACACTATTTCAGAAAGCTGAAGTAGAATAATTTCTAGAGTATAATAGTGTAATTTTTATGCAGAATTGGCTTAGTAAAAAGGTTTTATTCTGTATGCACCTAATCCTCTGCAGCAAGCAAGGAGATAGACAGAAGGGAAACGAGAGACTATTGTGTAATAAAACAGCCATAAAACTAATATTGGATTGGCCCATGTCCTGCACTCCTTTGCCTTTTGTTAACGGCCTGCTCCTGCAAGATGCTCAGTTTCTCCCATGAGTTGGTGAGCATTCCTGTTGTCCTCAGTAGGAACAATGTTCAATGTATGGCAGCTAGGAATACTCCTTCAGTTCTCCCACTTATAGAGGAAGCCAAAAAGCTTTTGTACCCATAAGCCTGCTATACCTAGTGTTTGCACTGAGCGTCTCTTAGGTGGTGCTTGACATCTCCCAGGACAGGGCATTACATGTCTAATGGAGATCAGCTTTACCACTGACCATACTAGTGAGTCTGCAATATGATGCGACTAGTATTCATGTCTTAAGATTTGTGTCAGTGTTCCACAATTCTGAATGTGACTTTTCCTGGTCAGCATTGTCCTCTAACCTGACTGTCCGTGATGGTGTTCAGACACAATAAAATGATGCAATGTAGCCAAGCCCTTATTCTGTTCCTCTCTGTGCCAGGCTTGTTCATGAGGATGACTGCCTGGACAGGACCCTGTATCCCTTGCTAATCAAGAAGCATTGGTTATGGACTAGAAAATGCTTTGTGTGCAAAATGTATACAGCCAGGTAAGTGACCAGTGCTATTTGGTTAGCTTGGTTTCTTCATCCATCTAAGACTTCTGTTAACAGAAATCTTTCTAGGTGTCTTTTTTTTTTTTAATATAGTATATTTTTTTTAATCAACATCCTCTGTCCTTGTACTCCAGGGGTTTGTGTCCATATAGAACTAATTCAAATTATTAGCCAGGCACAACACACTTTTTTGTTATACACAAATCCTCAATTATTAAGTATCATTTTCTGAAGAATGTCACTGTCGTGCCCATCCTACAGACTATTGAACGATAGGGGAATCTCTTGTAGGACAACCAAAAGAGAGTGGAAATCTTGAGGGTGGCAAACCTGTGGATAGCTCTCTTATGTTTGACACTTAGAATATGAGCACAGAACCCAGATCTATTTATTTTAGGGTTTTTATAGCATTTATTTTCTCAGTAAATTTACTGATAGAGCAAAATGCTAGATTGAAACAATGATTATAACAAGACAAAATCAGAGTCTCTTTTTCAGGAGTCCATGTGTTGTATCTGTTAAAAAACAGTGTCTTCATTAAAGTATAGATAGTAGAGGAATAGGAGTAAAGCTAACACCCTGATTTTACTATGCTGCTTTAAGTATCTCAATGCAATCATTTTAAAGGTGAAAAAGACAAAAAATATAGCTTCTCTTCCTCAACAGTTTAATGGGTTGTCTCTCTCTCCCCCTCCCCCCATTGTCTCTTTAGGCTCTGTGAGCAGAAAAATACATCTGTGGCCATTTGTGCTAATCCACACCCAGGCTTTGCTAGCTGTTTGCTCTAGTTAGAGAGAACTGTGAGAGAACCCTCTGTCCCCTGCAATACTTTACATCCTATTCATCTGGTCTTAGGAAAAGCCTGTCTGCAGACGGTAGAAATCTCTGTATCAGGAAAGTAAACCAATCCCACAGGCTAGATATGACACCTCAGTGTTTCATGGAGTTTTGGCTAGGTCACTTCAAAGCCAAGTTTTGGCCGCTTGCTCTAAGTGGTAATTCATGCCCCTTATCCCATTCTGATACATGGACTATGCTCCTTTATCTTCAGTATTTTGTGATAGGATCACTCAAGATAATCCAGTGGAATGCTGTTGGGACAGCCCATCTTCACATTCTTAGCAAGTCCCCTGGATGCCATCAGAAGTGGCCATAATCCATCTGAGGAGTCTGACCATAAGGGGAGGTGGAGCCAAAGGATCAATGTCAGGGAAAGACAGGGTGGGAAATGCATTACCAGAGGTGATGGTCTCTAACTGCATTAAATTAAAACCAGGATTAAGCACTAAGATTAAGTGGGGAGATGCTGAGCCATTGTTGACCAGAGCAACTTTGGCTGGACATCTCTGCACATTCTAATCTGTGTTGGATAGCATCTTCAGTCACTGTTTTTTTTTATGAGTAGCAAAGGCCTGGTCTACAATGCAAATATTTGCACCAGTGTAGCTATGCAGTTATAGTTCATTAGTGCAACCCCCCTAGTGTAGACGTGCTGCACTGGAGCAAATAGTGACTGGTAACAGTACAGCTTTCCTTTCTCTTTTGCAAGTCGTTTCTTGCATTAGTGCAGTCCATCTACGCTCAGGGTTTGTACTATGTTTATATAGTACCACAGGGCACTGGGTGTGGGTGTCTTGATCTTTGTTAAATTCTCTAAGTGCTACCATATAATTATTTCGCTGCACATCTACCATTCCTCATCTTGACAGCTGTATTGATGCTCTATACTTCTCAATAGAGGTGAAGTTATCAGCACCCTCCCTATTTAACCCAGTCTCCCCTGCCTCATTCAAGCCTATGATTGAAAGGAAAATAGTGTGTCTGTATGTGTAGATGCACATGTGTAAACAAAATGTCATAAGTGACCAAACTGCATCAAAAACAGTGCAAGCTCTTAAATTAAGATATAATTAAAACTGCCACTTGTCTGCTAATAGACAACAGTAAGTAAGAGAACTTAGAACAGATTAAAAATTCAATTCTAATGACCGTGAGGAAAAGCACTAGACTTTGGATGGCAGTGTTCAGTGTCAATCCCAATGATCTCAACCTGTTTCTAACAAAGTGTGTCTCTCCATTCAGTTGATTCCCAATTCTCTGAACAGATCTGATTGTTGCTCAAGCAGTTTGCATAATTGGGCAAGCTGTTGTATATCTAAATTCCTCGCCCTCCCCAGGCAAATACAGTTTTGATTTGTTACTTAAGTTGCCAGGCAATGACCAGGAGCTTCATATTATAATTTGAATACCTAAAAGTTTGCTAAGAGCTTCACAGAACAAGTAAGGACACAGCCCCTGCTAGATGCTGCTGCAGCAGCAAGTTTGTGGATGTGATTAAGGGAATGTGGTTCTTGGCAAACAGGTTTGGGAAAGAGCTGCCTCTGTAGGGAAATGGAGTGGGATGGCAAGGATAAGACTCACCCCACTGGGTTATTGTATCTTTCATATTTCACTGCATGTACAGGTGTTGAATGTAACAAATCTAAGAATGAGATTTTGATGGGGGTGTATCCTATACACATCAAATGTGTCAGTCTAAAGTGAAACACCTGTGTTTTAAAACCTGCAGGTGGGTGACTAATGAGGACAGTCTCGCTCCAGAGGACCCCTGTTTCTTCTGTGATGTTTGTTTTCGAATGCTCCATTATGATGCAGAAGGCAATAAACTGGGAGAGTTCCTTGCTTACCCTTACGTTGACCCAGGGACTTTCAACTAAGGCTTCAACGAGAATGAATTCAGTGAACTGGAACCATGAATCTGCTGCAGTGGCGGTTGGGTGGTTCTGAACAGATGTAGTCTGAAATACTGCTGGGGTTTGGGATAGGCCATCATTCCTTTGTTCAGTAGCGGGGGTTCCTGCGCACATCAAGTTTTTGAATCTTGTTGGTAATTCAGATAGGGAGCATTTACTTTTACACAATGGATTAGTGTGGAGGAAACAGCCTCAGCCATGCTTCGTTTTAACTATAAAAATGCAAAAGAGTACTGTTTACTTTTTTTTTAAAGTGCCTACAGTACATTATAGTTCCACATTTAGACTTCTAGGCAGAGAGACTAACATTTACAAATCGGGGTGTCCAAAGCTAGGGTCCTGAATAAAAGAAATCGGATCATTAAAAGCTGTGCTCCTCTGGCTTCCACTAACTTCAAAGGATACTCCATTTGACTTGTAAGCACCAGGATTTGCAAATTCTGGCCACAGTCCCCTCTGAACAAGGGCAGATGACTTTCATTAACTCTGATGGCAGTAATCCAAACCAATCACGAGGAGAGAATACATCCTAAGAAACCAGTCACAGAATGCTAGTTTATTTCCAGGTCTTTTGCTTCAAGCAATGGCTGCTTGTTGTTAATCAACACATTTTCCTTTCTTCTTCTTCTCTCTCTGAAGGAAGAGGCATTTGTGAAGAGTAAAATATGTTGATTTACCAATGCACAGTGCCCTACATTTCAAATTAATTTCATGTTTCTTTCAATTCCTATGCTCTTGAGTTTATCATTTAAAGTTCATAATGGGCATTATTGCAAGAGCATCTTTGCTATTTTAATATTACTTGACTTCTCTTTATTAAGTTTCAGTAAAGTCCTATAGTCATTATAATGTGACCTGTCAGCCAAGTTTATTCTGCTCATGCAGTATTACATAAGTAAGAGTCCTCTGCTTGCCGAGATATATTTCAATCTTCCAGGGAGCCTAGAGGTAAGGTTTTTTAGTAGTCTGAAATTCTGGGAAGTTGAACAGAACAGACCTCTGCTGTTTAGTAAGAGTAATAGCATGAATTGCTCTTCTCTCATACATTTCAAAAAGTCCATCAGTTCCCTCCCCCCCCCAAATCAGCTTTGCTGGGCATGGAAGTGCCTTCAGCCTGTGTATATATGAAAAGGGTTTGTCAGAACTGATTCTCTATTATTCAGGTTTTTATATGCCTCAATCGTGCCAACACTTACTCACAATAGTGAGGTTAAGCATACGTGTAATCCCACTGACTTAAAAAATTAAGTATCTGTAAATGTTGGCAGGGGATCGGGATCACACTGTGCCTATCACTGTTGTATCTGAATGCCTTCCCGTGGCACATTAAGCATTGTGACTATCAGTCAATGGTCCTTTCTCCTTTCCTCTACTGTGAGAAGAATTATGTGAAGTTTATTTTTATTTTACTCCTCTATTTGCTGTGCTATAATATGTCCTTTGAAAATAAGGTCAAAGAAGTGCACCTTCCACTTGGGATGGAAGGTGAGGAGATTTGTGGTAGTTTTTAGTGTCTGCTAAGTGCGTGTGTGTGGTACATTTAGTGATGATTGATCCACCACACTCAAACAGTCATTATCTTAGACTGGGTAGTAGTGGGGGAGAAGCCAGTCAGGTGAAAGCAAGACTATAGGAAACATTTCACCACTGTTCCAGCTTTGCAATTCATCCAATTTTTTTTTCTTGAAAGGTCTTAATAGAGGCAGAGATGTCATGGCTGGTATCTAGAATGTGGATGGGTGTGAGTAGAAAACACATTTGAAATATGCATGCTCTTGAGCCCTATCTTGGTGTTCTCTCTCTTTTTTCACAGTAGGCTGGTTTGTGCTGCTATAAAGGCTTTTAAAAAAATTCCCTTTAGAATGCAACTTTCATGTTTCCTTCAAAGAGTAGCATTCCAGTGATGCTTACCTTCCCCAAGCCCCTCTTCTTTGGCTGCCTTCTATTAACATATGGGCTTTCCAATCCTCTTTAGCACTGCAACTGTGATTAGATAAAACAGTAGCTTTAGAAATTACACCAGCTGTCTGTTGTGTGATAGCTTATCCATCTGAATTTTAAGAGGCCAATCAGTACAGGTTTTCTTACTAGAAAGAATAGAAGAGAAATTCTGAGATGAGGAAACCCAAAATTTATTTGGTCTATAGTTTTAATAATAAAACTCTTTTCTATCCTGTTTGCTCCAAATAACCTGACTAATTAACCACTTCACCTTCTCACCTCTGCAAGGCAAAGTCTCAGACAAACTTATCTTAAAATGACTGGTTTATATAGGTTTAAAAAAAAAAAAAAAAACTTGCTAGAGCCAGTCCTCCATTTATCTGATAATGTGCAGAGATACAAGTTACAGCTCTGGTTGTGAGAATTCGCTATATTGATGTATTTCGCAGGGGAGATAGAGGAGTGCTACGTATCTTGTATGTGTTGTGTTCTGGCCCTATCACATGTCAAATGAAGTGACTTGAACGCTACATTGAGTAAAAAGATCACAATAAATTATATTTTGAAAAATCCTTCAATTCCTTGAGTCCCAGGAGCAGTCACAGGACAGCTGGGTCTGGGTTTTGGTTTAGTGTTTTCTTCTGAATGAGCCCTCTGAGTCAAACCCAGTAACAGCCCCAGCTGTCCATTTATAATTAAATTTCTAAGATACCAGCTGGGTATTTGTGTTTTGGCTACTTGTTTAACAATGTTAGCATTTAAATGATCACAACTTCAACGTCTATTTAACACCCCAGGAAGATAAATGAGCAAAGATCATACCTTTTTATATTCTCTGGCTCAGTCACTCATCAAGAAGAGCGGAGTAACATTCTGAGATGGAATGAAGCTGACTTGTGGCTGTAGATAGACATAGCCTTACAGCAGCAGAGCTGTAGCTCGGTAGTGTAGACACTTGCTACAGTGATGGAAGGGGTTTTTCCCATCGCTGTCGTAAATCCGCCCCCTCAAGAGGCCATCGCTAAGTTGACAGAAGAATTCTTTCATCAACCTAGCTGCACCTGCAGTGTGGGTTACTGTAGATGTACAAGTTGTGAAATTTTCATAGCCTTGAGTGAAGTAGCTAGGTCAACCTAAGTTTTACATGTAGACCAGGCCTTAGTACCTAGTCTATGTACCTAGTATTTTTAACTGGTAATACTTTTGTTTCTTATGAATACCTATTATATGAAAAAATGTTACACAGTTGGCACTAATTGCACCAGGGGCAGGAAATGCAGAATTAACCTTAATTGTGTTGTCTTGGCACCTAAACATTACAAATAGGGCTTTTATTACTTGATCACACAACATACAGCCAATGATGCATATGAGCTTCCCATCAAACTACTGACAAGTTCTTAGCACCTATATTGTTATAGGTGCAGGCTTGTGACTTTTTTGGATGGTTGTATTAACTGAAGCCCTCAGAAAAACAGAAGCAAGAATTGAAAGCAGGGCTCTTGCACAGCATTGAAAAGCACTAGCACCATGTGAGCATGCAAGAAATGCACGGGGGTCTCATCCAAAAGGCTTACAGACTAAAGAGAGTAGGTGAGCAAAGCCTGGAACTGGAAAAGGAGGCAGAGACTTGCTCAAGGTCACACAGCGAGTCAGCTAAATAGCTGTGTAGAGAATTCAGCTCTCTTAAGTCCTACTTCAATGCCCAATCCACTGGACTGCAGTGTTAATTTTTATTATTTATATATTAAAAAAATCTCCACCTGATACCAGTAGCTGTTGCCATGACAGAGATGTAAAAACTAGGCATTGTAAGGGTGGCATGCATCCAGACACACAGCCTCACTCCTACTCAGTGTCTAAAATTAGACCAGATTGGGCCTCTTCAAAACAATAGTCATCTGCTTTCAAGCATCAGTCACTGCCCCTGATACGACATGTGGCTGTAACTCCTGCGTCAGGTGCATCTTAAACTACCTTCCACAGATTTGTGCCTCGGTTTAGGTTTGTTAGAGTTTTAGAACATAAGCTATGAACAGATATGAGCTCTGCATATAGGTGACAAAGGGCAACATTAGGACTTGTGGCTGAGCAATGGCTATCCTGCCTAAAGCATTCAGAGTCTGGAGACCCCACTTACTCTAGGAGATCTCCTTGCCTCCTCTCAGGAATAGAGAGAGTACATGCACAAGAGCTCTTGCAACTAGTTCTGCCTGGGATCAACCAGAGCAGTGGCTCTCAACCTTTCCAGACTACTGTACCCCTTTCAGGAGTCTGATTTGTCTTGCGTACCCCCAAGTTTCACCTCACTTAAAAGTTACTTGCTTACAAAATCAGACAAAAATAGTGTCACAGCCTCACTATTACTGAAAAACTGCTTACTGTCTCATTTTTACCATATGATTATAGAATCAATTGGAATACAAATATTATACTTACATTTCAGTGGACCTGGACACATTTGGGGGAAGAGACCCCTCGTGGTGACCTGCTCAGGCAGTGTGCCAGAGTATTTTGAACTCCCAGAAGGAGTTACATTTCAGTGTAGAGTATATCGAGCAGTATAAACAAGCCATTGTCTGGATGAAATTTTAGTTTGTACTGACTGCGCTAGGGCTTTTTATGTAGCCTGTTGTAAGACTAGGTAAACATCTAGATGAGTTGATGAATCTCCTCAAACACCTCTGGGTACATATACCCCTGGTTGAGAACCACTCAATTCATCAGGGATGCTTTTTTTTAGCCTCTGGAGTTTAAAAAAAAAAAAAAAAAAAAAAGGAAAATCCACTAACATTATTCTTGTTGCTAGATCTCATGAATAAATCTCTAAATAGGTAAAATTTGTCTTACCTATAACAAAGTAGTCAAATGGGAACACAATCTTGACCCTCTGCTGCCAAGCAGAACCCATTTGTATGTAATGGAAATCACAGACCAGAGATTGTGACACTGGCTAACGGTGATGTTCCCAAGCACTAGAATGCCTTGGAGCAGGATCAGAGAGGGTTTCTTCTCCTGGGAGACATGACCCATGCTCATATTTCTACTATAGACGAGCTATGACCATCTCGCACTGGCCTGTCCAACTGTTGACCCCTATGTCCCCTGCTGCTGGTTGCTGAGGGAGAAGGAGGTGCACACTAAAAGAGCAGAAAGAATAAGATGAGAGCTGGGAGTTGATCCTTGCCGAGAGGCTGGCTGCTATGTTGGCGGAAGCCTGTGAGAAGCATGAGGCTTTTCGCGTCTTAGAGGGATGAAGCCATCTGCTTCTCAATGGCCCAGGGAAGGGCAAATGGGTCTGGTGAAAAAATTCATTTAAGGTACTCACTTCTTGGCACATACAAACTTGCCCTGTCTCAGTCCTACGGTCTTCAGTTCCTGCAGGGAAATGCATGTGCTATGAAAATGGCAACTAAGCCCAGGCATGGTACTGATACAGTTTGAGAGATTGCTAATTAGTATTTAGAACGATCTTTACCTTTTATCCGTGTACTACAGTTTTCCTTTAAGGAAAAGAATATTTTGTGCTGATACAACATGTTTCACCCTGAGCTTCTCAAGCACTTCACAAGCTAGCAAAACCTAGCTACAGAATTCAGTTATCTTAAATCTCAGTTCCCAGCTTGAGTGTTGAGGAAGAGGTAGTGGTTAGTCTATTAAACACCAACAACATTTGTTTCTAAACCAAGTATTTTCAATCTTGCCAAATCTTTTGGCATTTCCCACCCCATAACATTTAGCACTTTGCCAGCACAATGGTGAGGTAGACCTTTGCTTCTCACATTGAGGGAAAGCAGGAAACCTAGAACACCTTAGTTCCTCCTTGATTTTACTACTGCTGTACAATCTCACAGTAAAAAGTGATTTGAACAGATCAATGTTGCTTTCTAATCCTGCTCAGGCACTTGAGTTTACATCACAACAGCACCATTTTGCTTTACAAAACACCTAGTTACATTGCCCAATTGCATGAACCCTAGTAAAGCTGTGGTTTGAAAAGTAAGGCTGTAACTAAACTTATTCTGTATTCAGTTGCACAAGTATAATTTGTGAGAAACCAAGAGCTGTTCTTGCCTCTGTTAGAAGAGTTTGGCATCCCGACAGTGACTTGGTTATCTCACCTCCATTTCATGAAAAGGATTTGGAAATAATTCGTTCCTGGGAGAATAATGGAAGTTTGTCTTTCCCCCAATTCCCAGAATGCATTTTCAAATCTCCCACAAGACACTTATGGAGGGAGTTGTTGGGAAAAAATGGTTACCTATCTTTCCATAACGGTTGTTCTTCAAGATGTGCTGCAAATGTCCATTCCACTGTCGGTGTGTGCGCACACCTCATGAACAGCTGGAGATTTCCCCCTCAGCAGCACCTGTCAGGGTAGTGTGATTGGCCTCAATAGAGGACCATACTGCCTCTGACCCATGTCTGTTCCTTTCTAAGAAAGACTCAGAGAGGGGAAGGAGGATAGGTTGTGGAATGGGAATGTGCAACACCTCTCGCAGAATGACCGTTATGGAAAGGTCGGTAACCGTTTTTCTTCTTTGAATGATTGCGTATGTCCATTCCTCTGTAGGTGACTCACAAACACTTTGAACTGGAGGCAGGTTCGGCGTCTACTTAAACAGGGATTGTAAAACCACCTGTCCAAATCTGGCATCATCTCTCGATTGACGAGAGACGGCATAGTGAGAGGCAAAGGTATGGACCGATGATCACGTTGCCATCTTACAAATGTCCAGGATGGACACATGAGCTGGAAAAGCTGCCGGTGACCTAGCTGAGTGAGCTACAACTTTACTTGAAGGAGCATTATCAGCCAATCGGTAGCAATAAATTAATATAGCTGGAAATCCAGACAGCGATCTACTGCGTGGCCCTTTACTCTGTCTGAAACTGCAATGAAGAGATGAAACATAAACCTGAATGGCCCAGTCTGATCCAGATAAAAAGCCAAAGCTCTTCCGACATTTAGAGTATGGAGTTTTTCCTCCCATTTACTCAAATGAGGCTTTGGAAAGAAAGTTGGTAAGTAAATTGCTCGATTAATATGAAAATCAGAAACCACTTTAGTCAGGAATTTTGGGTGAGGCCTAAGGAAAACCTTATCCCTAAATAAAATTGTATAGGGAGGCTGTGATACTAAAGCTCATATCTCCCCTACTGTCCTGACCAAGGTTTCAACAACCAAGAGAGCCACCCTCATAGACAGGTGTAATAGAACAAGTTGCTAGCAGCTCACAGGAAGAACCCATCAACTTTGCTAGAACTAAATTTAAATTCCACTGTGGAACTGGGCTGTGAACCTGTGAGTATAATCTGTGCAAACCCTTTAGAAATCTGATGGACATAGGATTTGAAAAAATAGATTGGTTATCCATGGGAGGGTGGAATAGTTGCCTGGTGGACTCTGATGGAACTAAGAGCTAACTCTTGTTGTTTCAGAAACAAAAGATAGTCCAAGGTATGGTAAACTGGAGCTTGAACTGGGGCAACACCTCTTTGAGTAGACCCAACAGAGAATCTATTCCATTTTGCAAGGTAAATAGACCTAGTTAAAGGCTTCCTGCTACTCAGCAGAACTTTCTACACTCCCTTAGAGCAATCTCGTTCTGAGTTTGTCAACCATGGAGCATCGACGATGTCAAGTGCTGGGATGAAGGAGGTGGCGTAGTCCTGGGAGATCACCTCTCTCAGGAGCAACAGTAGAGGTTTGACTGACAGGTCTAGTAGAGTCGAAAACCAATACTGACTGGGCCATCCTGGGGGTACTAGAATAAGGTGAGAGGAATCTTGCTTGACTTTGGCCAAGACTTGGGGCAGGAGCAGAACTGGAGGGAAGGCCTACAACAGGCTTTTTGACCAGGGTAGGAGGAAAGCAACTGTCAGTGAACCTAGGCTGTGACTTGCTCAAGAACAAAACATGACATTTTGTTTGCTCTTACTGCAAAGAGGTCCACTCAGGAAGTTCCCCACTGCTGGAATATGGACCTGGACACATTTGGGGGAAGAGATCACGTGTGGTGACCTGCAAAAGACCTGATCAGGTAGTCTGCCAGAGTGTTTTGAACTCCCAGAAGGTAAGCAGCTTTCGGGACGGAACTGGCAATGCAAAATTTCCAAAGGATTGCCTCCTGGCATAACTTCATCGATCGAGCCCTCCTTGTTTGTCTACATAGAACATGGCTGCTGTGTTGTCTGAATATCAACAAATTCCACCCCAATATGTTGAAAGAACATCAGGCAGGCAAACAGATGGCCTGAAGCTCCCTGATATTTATATGGAGGCTTAGACCTGTGGAGACCAAAGCCCCTGAGTCTGAAGGGGACCTAAGTAGCTCCCCAACCTAGATTTGATGCATGTGTGACTGCAGTGTCTCTCTGCTGTGGAGGGTCAAAGGGAACTCCCATGCAAACATTCAAGGGTTTTATTCACTAGTCCAGGGAGGACAAGACCTGAGCAGGTTTTTGAACCACGATGTCCATATGATGATGGGTCAGTGAACAAACAGACAAACCAACCCTACAGTTCTCTGAGGTGCAGTCTGGCATGCTGCACCATGTAAGTGCACACCTCATGTGAACCTAGAAGTTTGTGGCAGAACCATAGTGCCAGGGTGCACTATTAGGTCTAGAGCAGTGACCTGCCTTTTTTGTAATCTCTGCTCTGGTAGGAAAGCCCTGACCTTTGTAGAGTTCAAGACAGCCCAATGAATTCTGTTCTTTGAACCAGAGTCAGGATAGATTTCTTTGTACTGATTAGGAAACCCAGTGCATCGAAAGTGGACTGAATAGTCACTATGCTGGAGAATACCCGAGACCTGGACTGGCCTCTTACTAGCCAACTGTCTAGGTAATGGAATAGGACTCCCAACCTTCGCAGGAATGCTGCAACTGCTGTCCTGCATTTTGTAAATACACAAGGGGCTGCTGACAGTCTGAAAGGCTGTACTGCAAATTGGTAGTAGGATCCATTGACTATGAAACTTTCTGATGAATCGCTACATGAAAATAAGCATCCTTTAAGTCAAGAGCCAAATACCAGTCCCCAGTAGCTAAGGCAGGGATAATAGATGCTAGAATAACCGTCCAGAATTGTTTTCTTTACGAAGAAATGGGAGTAAAATCCCTTTGGTCTGAATGATATGGGAACTTCCTGTATGGCCCCCACGAGAAGGAGAGACATCATCTCATGAAAAGGCACACTCGTGAAAGTGGCCTGTGAAGAGGGACTGGAAAGGCAGATGGAAAAGGGGAATAGAAATAAATTGAAGGGTGTATCCCAGTTCCATTGTGATTAACACCCACTGATCCATAGTGATGTAGGTCCAAGCAGGATAGACCGTTGACCAAAATGGTACTCTGGGAAGTGGTAGACTGCTCTCAACCAACAGGTCAAAATGATGGTTTAGAAGACCTGGTTTGCTTATAAGAACTGGCAGGTGCAGAAGAGGGGGGCAAATGGATGATGCTTCTTTTAACTTCTGCCTCTTTTTGGTCAGGTCCTGGGTATGTGGCAAGAAGGGATGAAACCGCTGGGACTACTGTGGGTGAAACAGTTTTCTTTTTTTTTTTTACTGGTGTATAAATCGCCAGAGACTTAAGGTTAAGCAACTCTGTGGCTGCCTCGACAGCCTTGGGTGTACCAAGGGTGCACCAGAAAGGGCTCCCGAGTCTGCTGTACCAAAAGGTGCACTGGGCCTTCAAGAACTGGTCTGAACAGCTCCATTCTGGGCTTCAGAGTCAGCAATCCCTCCTGATTTACGGACTGCCTCTAGGGTTGTCTCTTCTTTGAGCACACTTCTGAGTCCTTACCTCCACTCAGTGCCTTCACCATAGATTTCAAAGGCACCTTTAGCCAATCTTTGGAAGACTTATGTAGCCTCTTAGGTACCACCGAGAATCTGCCTCTTGCCTCAGTCGGATCGGGGGAGCACTCCTAACAGATGTGGACATACACAGACTCCATAAGCAGGTACTTGAGTCTGGCAGCCCTGTCTCTTTTTTTTTATTGGGGTTTGAACCATGTACAGATGTGCTCTTGTCACCCACATACACCTCTCCCAGACACTTAAGGCAGCTGAGGTGTGGGTTGCTCAATGGCATAGATTTGTTACATGAGCAACAGGCCTTGAAGCCTGGAGAAGGAGGCATTAGTCTGGTACCAAGCCTGGTACCCAAACGGGAACTGGTAATACCACTCTTGAAAAATACTACTCTAAATTTATTCTTGTATCTAACTATGTACGAACACAATACAATAGACTGAAAACTAATACTACCGGTATAGGTACTATGTACACTAAGAGGGAAGACTTGCAAATGCAATGATCACAGCTCCAACAACAGTCACTGGCAGTAAGAAGGGACAGTGGGGCCCTTTATACCTGTGTGCAGTGGCGCGAGGTACCAGAGGGCACTCACGCTGCCCCCAGGGGTACCACGGAGGGGAAAATCTGACAACTGCACGAGATACGCACACACCTACAGGGATATGTGCAGTCACTTGAAGCTGAACTGTGGGATCAGTACCCAGAACATAGTATAGGGACACATTGTAAAATTGCATGGGTAGACAGTGCAAAAATATTGTTTTCTTCAAAAAATTTTCCTGAGCAATAAAACACACTTCCTGACCAGCTCTAAGCATGTGGATGGTGTACACATCCCAGTGTAAAGCCACCATCTGCATATACAAAGTGAGTGAGTTTTTTTGTTTGCAGATTTAGCTGCACAGCCATGCCTCTCTGTCCCATCATCATTTGACTGCTTTAATGAGATCACATAGCTGAATGTGGTGACAGTTCGCATCTGCACAGGGAGTGATTCCAGAATAGCTGCTCCTGAGGAACTCCACGTGTTGATCCTCTTACTCCAGAGTAAGAGTGCCTTATTCTGAATTAGTTTAATCCACTTTGGAAAGAAACAAGTGGAAATAATAGTTTAGGGGAACCATGATTGTCTTTCCTGGACTTGAAAGACCGAGATTAGAATGCAGTACAAGATGACTGACGAGGGAAGGATTTATACCTTCCCAGACTCTAAGCCTGTCATTCAAGCAAAAGAAAATGATGTGAGAATTGTAAGACTGGATGGGACCTCAAGAGATTATCTAGTTCACTCCCCTACACTCATGGCAGGACTAAGTATTATCTAGCCCATCCCTGACAGGTGTTTGTCTAACCTGCTCTTAAAAATCTCCAATGATGGAGATTCCACAACCTCCCTAGGCAATTTATTCCGATGCTTAACCGCCCTAACAGGAAGTTTTTTTCCTAATGTCCAACCTAAACTGTCCTTGCTGCAATTTAAGTCCATTGCTTCTTGTCCTATCCTCAGAGGAGAACAATTTTTCTCGCTCCTCCTTGTAACAACCTTTTATGTACTAGAACTTAAACAACTTTTATAGCCAAACTCTTACAGGTCTCTAATAAAGTACAGAGGCCCAAATTTTCATCTGTACACAATATAAAATTTTAGGCTGCAAAGAAGCCATTTGCAGCTCCCATGTTGGGGTTGATTGCAAGCCTGTTGCATGCGGTAGTTTAGTGTTGCTCTACCCAGCTGCCTGTGACCACAAAGAACCAGAAGGTAAGCCAGGGATTGCTGGAGCAAAGTGATGGTCCAGATACTCCCTTTTACCTCACCACGGCCACTATGCCCTCTATTTTGAGGGCCAGGTGGACAACAGCGCAGGAGGTGAACCAACAGTTCATATTGGGATCTGTGTGGAGTACCTATCGCTTTAGAAACAAGTGAACTCCTAACCGTCTCCCTTAATGCATTTGGTCAACTGTACAGTGTATACATTTCATCTGAGGAAAATCTGTTTTAAATTCACACCTTACCTTATTCTGGATTAATTTTGATGTGTAGACAGTTGAGGGTTATGCTGGGAGCAGCAGTGGCTACTGTTGAATTTGGAGGTGGAATTCAAGGTGGTATTTTTAATATCCTGTAAGGAAGACATTTTATTTTACTATACCTAGTACATAATTTTATATTTTAATTCTATTAAAAACTATACAAAGATCAATGTTCAGTTCTGCAAATTGCTGCATTGTTTAGTTTCTTAATCACTCATTCAGTGTCAACACTATGGATGCAAATTGTTTTCTCTATATATTTCTGGTTAAGGGACAAAAACTGCTCGTGTATAGGAGCTATATATATGGATGTACTAAAATTTAGTACCTTAATAGGTTTTGTATCTTCTAGTGATTATTTAAGTGGATTCTGGTATATGTAAATGTACAGATCTTAGTGTTTATGTAATCAAACTTTTTAAAGCTCAGTCTATGTGGCTTGTGGACCTAGTGTCCCTGAGCAGCAGCAGCCTCTCTCCTTGTGACTTGCTGCTACAATTTAACTTATTGGTTTTCATCATAACTAGGCCCCTGCTCCTGCAAGTTACACCGAGTGGGTCCATGGTCCAATTATGCATCTTAATCTGCAGGATTGGGGCCTTTGATTGTAGGCTTCTCAAGGCAAGGATGCTATGACCTCTATTTTAAAGGGTCATGCACAGCTATGGCTCTATATAATTAATAAAAATGTGAAGCATAATAGACATGGTGTTATGCACCTGGATAACAGAAATGCTAAATTTAAACTAATATTTAGCCTTACTGAATATATACTACCTGCATCCAGGTTTAAATGGAAAGACCCATCTACACTACGAAAACAATATAGTCTAGGGACGCACTTACAACACAATTAAGTTGTGTCTCACAATAAATGTAACAGGGTCAGATAACTGGGCCAAATATTTAAGTGAGATTTAGCCCACTTTTGTGACCTAGTTACAACACTGCAAATTTTAACAATGTCTCCTGACTTGATGGCTTGTCCTTTTATGTTACTAAGTATTTTCTAAAAGTTGAGATGGGGCATTCAGGAGCCCTCTCTACTTTGCTTGTTCTAAACTCCTGATCAGGAAAATAGTGGAAACCTTCCCTAGATATTATATATAGCTATCCCCGTTTTGGTTGAAGGGGATTGGGGGACCTAGGGAGAGACACTGCATCTGTATTACTTTTGATGCTAGGCTGCTTTATTACTTAGTCTTCATGAATATTGTTAGAAGATAAGAATGATAGGGAAAACTACTAATGCAAAAGTTAAATTTTTATGTGTAATAGATGTGGGTGACAATACAGACAGATATCTCCATCTATACACACATAGGTATCCACTTAAAATAAACATTGAGCTATCCAGGGACTCCATTTTAGTGCACATTAATTCAGATTACATACAAGGAGTTTTTTCCTTAAACATGTAGGAAAATAAACAAATTGCTTGCATCTATAGTTTAGACACTGCAATTAAGAGAAGTTTTAAAAATGGAGCATAAGTTTATAGAATTGTATGTTAACTAATTTGTAACAGAATATAATTGAGTGCTAGTGTAGAAAAATGTCTTGCTTACAAGACACAATAAAACTGAGTGATTCTGAAACTTTCCATCTACACCCTACAGACAGCTAGGAAAAACACATCAGTGCTCTTGCTCTTCACATTCATACACCCTACACTGCTACTGTTTCGAAGAATGACAAGAAGTTTGCTCCAAAAAGCTAAGTTTAGTATAAGCATTGAAAAATTGTTAATTTCCATTTGACTCTCCACAATACATCACTCGTTGTGTTGGTTAAGCTGTCTTCACAGGCACATGGTATTTTACATATTTTGTTAGGTGAGCAAGCAGCTGGCCACAAGGATTTATTTTTGATAAGTGTAACTCAAGTTTTTTGCCAGACCAATATGAGAGTTCAGCTGGACATTGTTATTGATCTGCACTAAACAAAATGCCCTACTACAGAGGCGCCCAACTAGAACGTACATTAAATTATCTTAAACTTTTTCTTAATGGCAGTATGTTAGTATCATTTCTATAGTGTTGCATTTAAAGCCTGGCTGAAGGATCATGTTCAGGTTGTGGGTTGTTGTGGAAGGGATACATGAGGTTATAGCAATGCACAATGCACACAAGAAAAATAAACCATGCCCCAATAAGTTTAACTACTAGTTTTGCTCAAAGCCCACAGGTCATTCTAAGCTGCTGAAATGATTTAGCAAACAAAATATTTTCAGTCAGCAAAGTCCTGTCAAGAGACAACATAACAAGAATGTAGTAAGTTTACATAAAGACTCCCAATCCAATGAACCTCTGGGAATTGAGGCTCAACTACTTAAGGCATTCTCCCCTTTCCCCCAATCAGTCACTCTTTTAGCCCTTCTCCTGAGCACCTGTGCAAGTAGAGGCAGAGACTGAGCAAGAGTTAACACCTTATAACCAGGCAGATCTACCTCTTTCATTTCACGATTTGATCAGCAGCTGATCTTTAGTTCTTTGCAGAATGCAAGAAAATAGTGCCTAAGGGGCCAACACCTTATAAGAACCTTTTACCTGAGGATACATCTACATCAGAGCTGGAAAGTATAAATTCCATCTCGAGGAGACATACCTATGCTAGGGCTGATCAAGGTAGTACACTAAAAAAGGGAAGTGTGGCCGTGGTGGCGTGACTGGGGAGGGACTAGCCACCCTCAAGTACAATCCGGTCCAAGACCATAAGTACATACTTAGGGAGGGGAGGAGAGGAGGGATAGCTGCTCCCTACCATCATGGTTACACTTTTATTTTTAGCATGCTAGCTTGATTAGAATTAGCATAGCTATCTCTCCTCAAGCTTGAATTTACACATTCCAGCTTCAATGTAGACATACCTTAAGTTATTCAGGCCCTGTTCCTTGCTTGGTGGGAAAAAAGAGAATGGTTAGTTTGAAGTTAGACCATTTTGGTGCTTGATTTCTGCATAGAAATGCTCTAACTGCAGAGCAGATCTGCCCTTTCTGGAAAACCTCCCTATTCTAAATAATTCTAAAGATGGGCTGTGCTATTTTAGATCAATATGAATACTAAAACTCTTACCTAAGACACTTTCCTATTGCTCCTGTATGGATATG